CAGGCCCATCAGATGCAAAGAAAATATGTGAGAGAGAAGAGAAATGTATAGTGTACCAGAACCCACAGCCTTGGCTGCTCAGAAGCACGTGGCCTTTACTTGTGATGCCGGCTCCTTGGAGAATCCTGTCACATGGCTGTGATTCATCTTGGAAAGAGGAGGCACCGAGCCCAGGCTAAGCCTTCCCACCCTCCCTGTACCCTTTTGGGGCTTCATTCATCAGTGTGCTGGCTCCCTGGGTACCAAGGAAGAAGAGGCCTTTATCCTGGGGAGGTGTCTGTGGACGTCAGCTCACTGCTAATCTTAACATCATGGTCTCTGACTATACCATGTAAACGGGTAGGAAAGGGCATCATCACACCCACCCACGCACACGGGCACGCACGCGCACTCGCACACAGAACAGACTGTGCGCATTTAATGCTCAAAACCATGATCTTTTATATTAAGTGTGAACCCAAGGTCTCCCCTGCCCCACCTTCCAACAGCCAGCTCTCGTACAACAGCCAGTACAAAGTCCTCCCCAGCGGCACTCCAGCTCACCCTGCACGAGTGCTGTCTGGCCTTCTGCCTCCTCTTGATCCCTGGAGTGTTCCTCATGGACCATCACAGAAGCATTCTGGGAGCCCCTCTGGGCACAGTCTACAATCCTTATAACAAGGGCTACTCATGAAGCTAAGGTGCTAAAAAACAGAAGGCAAAATATGCACCACCACTTTCTGAGCTCTAAAACTCACATTTGTGGTGACGTGTTGAAATGACAACATTGAACAAACTGTTTGGAAAACTGGATATCCACACACCCAGACTTTTGCATGAGCTGGGTGTGCTGACGGGTTCCCCAGTTACTCAGATGTTGAGACAGGACGACTGCTTAAGTCCAGGAGCTCCAAGCTACACTGGGCAATATAGTGAGACCCTCATCTCAAAACAAAACAAAATAAAACGACCCTCAAAGTGGATGACAGCTCTAAAGCAAAGAGCTAAAACCCTAACAGTCACATGAAGGGAAGGGAGGGCCGCCCTCACGACTGAGACTTGGTGATCTCGGAAAGAAACAGAAGCTGGGTGTGACGGGAAGGCACGGCTCCTCCATGTCAGACGACACCACAAGGAAGCCCCCCCCCCCATGAGATGATGGCAAGTACTGGCAAGTCCTCAGTCTGATCAGGGATCCTGAACACGTGGAAACTCCTGCAGCTCTGCCACAAAAAAAACAACAGTTCAACTCGAAAATGTCTCAAGGGCCTCTCCAGACCTCCCTCCACAGCAGCCACGGCAACGGACCTGTGTCGTGGCTACTACCATCGGTGATCTGTTGGTAAGGCAGAAAAGGCGAAGTGTCGACGGGGAGTGTGTAGATGAGGACTCCCTGCACTGCTGGTGGTGCAAACAGAGACTGTGTGCAGCTTCTGTGGACAACAGTTTGGCTCAGTGGATAAAACTTTGCCATGAAAGTATGAGGACAAGAACCTGGGACCCTGTAAGAGTTAGGTGGGTGTGACAGTTACCTGTAATCCTTACTACCCAGCAAGTAAAGACGGCAACCCTAGGGCAAGCTGGCTGGCTAGACTAGCTGGAATCATCAAACTCCAGGACTGCTGAGAGATCCCACCTCAGTATATAGACCTCGGAAACTGAGGAAGACATCCAACATCAATTTTAGGCCTCCAAACTAACACTTACACAATTGCACCTCAACACACATACACATGCACGTGCAACCACATATACTTATACAAGCCAAAAATGGTTAAAACATAGTGTTACAACATGACCTAGCAGTTTCACTAAGAATACGCCCAAAGCATCAAAATCAGGGCCTCAAGCAGACCTTTGTCCACTTGTGTTCTTGGCAGACGTAGTCACTCGTAGCTAAAGGTAGAATGAACCCAAACAGTCAACAACAAATGGAGAGATACACTGTGGTCACGTAGACATGGCTATACAGGCTTTAAAACAAGCTCTGACACATGCTCAACACACACAAACCCTGACATTATACAGAGGAAATAAGCCAGACCAAGTGCGACAAACGCTTCAGCTAAATCCACGGACACAAAAACAGTACAGTCATATCAAGACCCAGGAGACAGAGGCTTGGGGAGGGGGATGGTATTTACTGGGTCTTTCTCTCTGAGATGGAGATGAAGTCCTAGAAACAGAGAGTGGTGAAGGACAGGCTGCTGAATGCTACATTTAAGACAGTAAGATTTTATGTTAAACTTAATTTGTGACTTTTTTCAAACCACAGTTTTCATTGTACGCCACCTGCTAACTTCTTATCGTAACCGTGCACACAAATCTAAACGTGTGCGTGTTTGGAGCAGAGACAGTTACATTTCAGTGACGTGGCTGTCGCAGCATTTGCAGAGCTGGCCATGGTGATTGTTTCCTGGCTTTCCCACCCCAGCTTGGTCTGGGAAAGTATCCAAGGACCTTTCAGTGGATCCTCACAACCTTCAGAGCTTTTGGGAGGATACTGAATCTGACACCTCATCCTATGCTACCCAAGGACCTTTACCTCAGGATCATCAATTGGTCAAAGAAATCCTATTGGGACACTCTAAGCAGCTATGCCATGGGACGATATAAAGCAAATGTTGATGTCATTTCTTGGGAAATCAGTAAGTCTGCAAAGATACTTGCCAGCCCTCTCTGTAGTGTGACGTCACAGCAGCATACAGTGGCAGGTCTGGAAGGACAGGTGCAGCAGGCAGCCTCCAACCTTCTTCACGTTCGACCTTGGCCGTGTGATTTTCTTCTGGCCACAGACGTGAGATTCTACGCTTTACCTGCTGGTACATGGGCTGCACAGCTATGTGCCCAGAGCTGTTACACAACAGGCCTTCTCCCAGGCATACCCCATGAAGAGAAGAGGCGGGTCTCCAGATCCATCCCCAGCCTCACGTGGCTCTGAGCACTATCCAGGATCAGCTCTTAAACTTGACAGAGCAGACTTCAAGGCTAGTGCTAATAACAGAAGCAAAGAGGCTCTGGGGAGGAATGGGTACAGGCTGGCTTCTCTGCCAGGTTTCCCACCTTCTCCTAAGCTGATAGTGCCAAGAACCAAGCCCCTTAGCTTTACAAATACAAGATGAATACTTCAAAAAGTTAAATTAAGAGTACATGTATGTATTGCTTTACTGGGTTATCTCTGGTTTTTAAATTCACAAGGGTTAGGTCCCTGAAAGGTATATATACCTCAATGTGTGTGTGTGTATATATATATATATATGTATGTATGTGTATGTATATATATTTGTGAGTAGGTTTTCTTTAAGTTACTAGATACAGAAGAAATTAAGGAGCCCATGACTTCCTGTTGGCCTTGCAGTGAAGAGTGGGGTCACTGGCCTGGGTCCTTTGGTACTTCCTATGGTGCTCACAAAGGAAACCTGTGCATAGCAATTTTAGGAGAATGTGCCTGGAAATACTTGCCTAGAATGTACTCAGAACAGAAGGAATGATCAAGTCCTCACCCTCAGGCCCATCTAATAACTGCTGAACCCCTTGGTATTCTTAGGACGGGCGGTGGCAGCTGTTGCTGCTGCCTCTGCTGCTTTTCTTTTCTTCTTTGTCTCCTTCTTTCTCCTTGGTTTTTTGAGACAGTGTTTCTCTGTGCAGCCTGGAACTCACAAAGATCTGCTTGCCTCTGCCTCCCCAGTGCTGAGATAAAGGTGTAATGCACCACCGCCTGGCTGGCGGTCTCTTCTTATCTACGCTAGGACACTAGGCCTTTGTGGTAGAGGAAGCTCAGGAATCCTGAAGCACAAGCGGATCACAACAGCTCCCCATGCTAGGATGTTAAACAAGCAGAAGGGAGGGTGCCATGGTGGAGAGCGCACTCACTCCCCCTTTCTGGGGTCCCACTACTCCCCTCCATGAATCCCCAGTGCTTTCCCACTCCCTGGCTCTGCTGAGTTAGTGCTCCACAGATCCAAGCAGCCATGCCTTTCTCATGAGTTCTTCACTCAACATAAAGTGTACATCCTCTTAAAAGACAATGAATTCACTCTACACCACCACACACAGAGAAGCAGCTCAGTGTGTGCTGAGGCTGCCACTGCAAGGGGACACTTCCTCCCTTCCAGGATGCCCAAGCTCAATGTCCTGCAGGAACTTGTCCTGCCACAGAAAGGATGGTGTGTGCTGACTTCAATGGAATTCTCTCACACATCTCACTACCCATGACAGGGGCAGCATGGTTTCTTTTGTCCTCTGCCAGGATCTTAGAACATAAGCTAGGCAGTGTGATGGCTGCATAGACAGAGGAGCCTACAGGCACAAGCACATGCACGCGAGCTCAGAGGCAGATGGATGACCACTTCATGGAATTTAATCTCGTATTGCTCCTCTTGAAGCTATCTTCCCATACCTGCTCTAAGTTCATAGTCAAGTGGCCAGAAAAAAAATAAGGACAGTGTGCTTTCCTAAACAAATAACATAGTTAATATACAAAGGACATCAACTTCCTAATCTCAAGATTATATTCAGAATGTGATATTGACTCGACTTTATTCAAAAATAAAAGAAGCACCGAGACAGAGATCAACTGTCCAATGCATGTGAAATACTAGGTTACAGAAGGTTAGGAAGGTTAGCCTGTGTGGCGGGGGTTACAGTTACCTGGGAAAGGGGATGGGCTATCACAGAAATGCTTCTGGGAAACACTACCCACACAATAGATGGTGATCTAAACTCTCATGGTGCAGGCAGCCTCTAGGGCAGCAAGAAGCTACTCTGAGAAAACTCTGTGAAAGTTTCCAGGCGTTCAGAGGTGACCTTTCTGGAGAATACAACCTTTTTTTGGTCACTGATCTGGTAAGATCAAGAGTGCACTCCCAGGAGTGAGAGCAGGACGCTCACCCATCCGGACGCTCACCCATCCTGCCCTTCTCCAGTCCATCAAGGCCCGCAATCTCTAACACACGGCATACAGTGACAACTAGTGTTGAATGCGAAGGTAGAGGCCCGGGAGGGGAAGGGCCACTGGCATTTTCACAAAGCTCCTGATGGCCGAGCACATCTAAATACTACAGTCCAGGGCACGGAGGTCTTCCAGGAGCTCCCGGGCAGCAGACTGCAGGTGGGAGTTGCGGCTCTTAGACATGGCCAGAATGCGCTGCAGCGGTAAAGAGCTCTGGAGCTCAGGGGCCACCTTGGAGAAGACGTCTGGTTCTAGAACCACAGACTGGATGAGCCGTAGGGTATGAAGACACACTTCTGCATCTGGATCTGGAAGAAGAGAGGCTGCCGGTTAAAATCAAAGCCTCTGCAGGAAGCCACCCCTGGTGGGGTCTCTCTGAATGACAGGTCTGACAGTGGGAAAGCTATGGGCTAATCCAGAAACGGAAGCCTAGCTTGTTGTGTTTGTGACTGAACACAATCACCACCACTTTTAGAAAACACACATCTTCAAAGGCCATGATTACATTATTTAAAGCAGTTAAAAGCACTTGCTTTTTCAGAGAGCCCAGATTTGATTTCTAGAACCCACATGGTGGTTCACAACCATCCATAATCCAACACCTTCCTCTGACATCAATGGGCGCCAGGCATATATGTGGTACACATGCATACACACAGGCAAAACACTCATACATATAAAATGAAATAAAATAAAATAAAATAAAATAAAATAAAATAAATCTTTTTGTTTTGGTTTGAGTTTTTTGTTTGTTTGTTTGTCAAGACAGGATCTCTCTGTGTAGCTCTGGCTGTCCTGGAACTTGTTCTGTAGACCAGGCTGGCCTCAAACTCACAGAGATCCACCTGCCTCTGACTCCCAAGTGCTAGGATTAAAGACATGCACCACCACTGCTGGCAAAAATAAAATAAATCATAAAACAAAACCTACTAAGCTAGACCTATCAAGGCTTCTAAGGGGTTTGCTGTTTCCCTTGCAGCTGTCATGTGAAAGACGTGGTTGTCAGTGTAGAGTGCTCTCAGGAGGTAGTGAAAACTTTATGGAATTACAGAATTGCACTTAATGGGAAGAAGTTAGGTCACAGGGATGTGCTCTTCAAGGGGATACTAGGACACCTAGTCCCTTCATTTCTCTTGTGCTATGTGGTAAACAGACATATCCTGCTGTCACAGCCCAAAGCAACAAGGCCAAATGTCCAAAGACTGAAACATCTCAGACCATGAGCCAAAAGAAGCCTTTCTTCCTTCTGAGATAGTCACAGTATGCAGAACTCCCTAACATGGGGTTTCCTATGTTTTGCTGGACTGTCTACTTCTACAGTTTCTTAAGAAGGTAGTACCTCTCATGTTCACATCAATTGCGACAAATTCCTCAGCAACAACATAGACAGTGCTTCCAAAGAGACTTTGAGAGGGATAATGTCACAGTGTCTTTGTTACTGTTCTATTGCTATGAGGAGACATCATGATCAAGGCTACTTATTAAAAAAAAAAAAAAAGAGCACTTGACGTGGAACTTGTTTCATGTTTCAGAGGGTTAGTCCATGATCATCATGGCAGGAAGCACAGCAGGCAGCAGGTAAGCATGGTGCTGGAGCAATCAGAGGACATACCTTATTCACAAGATGAAGGCAGAGAGCAAGAAACTGGGTCTAGCGTGGGCTTTTAGAAACCTCAAAATATAGACCTCCTCCAAGAAGTCATACCTCCTAATCCTTCCCAGTCTACCATCTAGGAATCAAATGTATGAGCCTGTAGGCCATTCTCATGCAAACCACCACACCCAGGCTATAAGAACCACAATGTATTTCATTACTTTCCATCTGAAGGCCCCTCAGGAGTTACAGAGCCGCATAACCCTGCTTATACTATAATAACCACTGAAAAGTAAACCAAAATAATAGCCTAAGTCAAAGCTATAATCTTTAACCAGGATAAACTCGAACTATCCTTTCTGGTGGATACACTATGGGCTGGGGACTGTAATGGGAGCCATGCACACCACCAGCACCTCTTTCTCAGCACTACACTCACTCCAAAGGACCTTTCAAGCAGTCAGTGGGACTGAACACACTCCCTCAGCCTGAACCACAGACTTCTCTTATAGAACAAAAGGGGGATTGCAGTTAGGGAAGGCTAAAATAAAACCTGTTCTTCATTGAAGGAGGGACACAGAGCTATCCAAAACCCAGACTATTGAAATCTTTCTATTCTAGAGGAGAGGTAGAGGTATGAAGATACAGGGTAGGATGACTGCTAAGGAATGCTACAGAGAAATACCGACACCCAGGCAAAAGTAGACAACAGCAAGGAGAAACACTAAAACAGGCATCAAAAATAAAATCATTTCCAGTTATCTTTGCCTTAATCTTTTAAAACTCAGAGAAAAGGGCTAAAACAAAACATGCAAAAATAATAAAGATATGTGCAGAAATCAATACAGTTGAGAGTAAAAATGCTGGGTGTGGTAGCTGATGTCTGCAACTCCAGAGCTAAGGCAGGAGGACCACTATGAGTTCAAGGCAAACCTGTGCCTTGAATTCCAGGATAGCCAAAGACACATAGTGAATTTATTGTCTTAAAGAATAACAAATGAACAGCAAAAAAAGATAAATAAGTAAAATTAATTCAGGAGGAAAATTTTGTTTTGTTTTTTCCGAGACAGGGTTTCTCTGTGTAGCCCGGGCTGACCTGGAACTCACTCTGTAGACCAGGCTAGCCTCGAACTCTCGAACTCAGAAATCCACCTGCCTCTGCCTCTCAAGTGCTGGGATTAAAGGTGTGCGCCAACACCGCCTGGCAGGAGGAAAATTTTTTAAAAAAGCAAAAGTTGGCCCTTTAAAAAATAATTTCTAAAACTAGTCAAGACTAGTGGAAAGAGAGGAAAGTCAGAAATGAGAAATATCAAGAATAAGACAGTGGCTTTAACTACAAATCCTACAGAAAGTTAAGAATAATAAGGGATATGAACAATTTTGTGTCCTTAATTTTAAAATTTGGATGAATGCACTTTCAAAGTTCCCTGCGTTTTTTCTCTAGGTTGAATTACTTAAATTAGCCCTACATCTACTAAGGAAATTGAATTTGAAGTTAATAGGAAATGTTTAAACAATGAGTAAGAATTCAGACCCAGATGGCTTCATTTACAGAAGACACAGTAATCCTGCATAAGACTTCCAGGGAGCAGACGGAGCTGGACGGACAGCTCGTCGGTTGGTAATCAAGCCATGCCGGATGCTCTTCCAGAGGACCCAAGTTCCGTTCCCAGCATCCTCACTCACCATGTGGCTCACGATCACCTGTAACTTCAATTCCAGAGGATCCAACACCCTCTGGCCTCTGTAGACACTGCACTCACATACACAAAACACACACACATACACACATGTTCGTTCTCTCTCTCTCTCTCTCTCTCTCTCTCTCTCTCTCTCTCTCTCTCTCTCTCTCTCCCTCCCCCCCCCCCTCCCTCCCTCCCTCCTTCCCTGTCTCTCTCTCTCTCTTGTAAAAGACTTCCAGAAAATAGAAAGCGAGAACAAATCTCAGTTTTCTAAATGAGGCCAGAATGACCCTGATGCCCAAACCACATAAACATTTTATGAGAAGATAACGGACCCACATCTTTTGTGAAAATCCTGAACAAAACATCAGCAAGTCAGATCCAGAAATATATAGAGACAATACTTGAAATTAATATGCATTTGCATTCTGGGAATGCTAAATGGGTTCAATGCTTGTAAATTATGCAAATATTTCTTATCATAACACAGACTAAGGATTATTTATCTTTTCAACAAGATGCTGACAAGTCCTTTGGTAAATTTAGTATTTGTTCATATGATAAAAACTCTCAGCAAATGAGAACAGGATGACACATTCTGAACCATACTGAGGGCATCTACAAACACGGGCCGTCAATAGCACACATAATAGTGGGCCAAAGCCCCTAAGATGCAAAGACACTATCCTTAAAACCTCCATCCAAATCATAGTTGATATTTTAGCCTCTCTGCACTACAGAGACATACAGACTGAAAAGGACTAAAACTATCTCTGTTTCCACATGATGTGATTCTCTGCACAGAACATTTCAAAGAATATGCAAAAAGCCACTGGAAACAAGTTTTACAAGGTTTTGGGATAACAGGGTCAGCACGTAAAGGTTAGTTTTATCCACACACTGATAAAAAATGCAAATCAAGATTTTTAATGAATACCACTAAAGATGACAAAAAAAATGATAAACTCTAAGCAAGCCGTTGTATACAGTGTCTGGAAGCTTCAAAAGGTAAAACCCACGTGACACTTAAGTACAAAGCAGAGGCAACAAAACCAAGAGGTTGTCCTACACTGAGACTAGACTTAGACGAGGCTCGGGCTGCTTGGTCTGATTGCTTCAGGGCCGATGTTGAGATAGAAGTTCATAGTTAAAATGGTAGGAAATGCAGCTCGCCTCACACTGGACAGAAAACGAAGGGGCCAAAGTTCCACAGTCCCCTTCAAAAGCCAGCTCCCTGAAGTGACCCATTTCTTTCAACTAGGCTCCATCTCTTAAATTCCCTTCATCTCGGATAGTGCCATACACTAAGGACCAAGCCTCCAGCACAATTAAGACTGAGGCCATAGTAACATTTATGGACAAGATGTCTCAAGAGGCTTACAATGCCAAGCCTCTTCAACTTTATCTACAAATGCAATGTCATTCCAAACAAAATCCCAGTAAGCATTTTGTAAAAATCAACAAACCAGGACTAGGGAGATAGCCCTGAAGTTAAAAATGCTGGTTGCTCTTCCAGAGGTCCTGGGTTCAATTCCCAGCACCCACATGGTGGCTAACAATATCTATAACTCCAGCTGCAAGACTCTAATACACTCACTCTGCTAGCATCAGGCAAACACATGGCACACAGACATGCAAACTCCCATGCATGTAAAATGAATGAATGAATGAATGAATCATATACACATACATACAGTTTTAAAATCAACAACCCATTCTTGCTCTTACAGGAGAGGTAAAGGACTGCAAGAGTCGAGACAGTTTAAAAAGGAAGTCAAGGCCTGTGGCCCCACTGACAGAGCCCAGACCCACAGTTCTTAAGACAACATGGAATCACCAAGGGGTTGACCTGGAAATAAATGAAGAGGGTTGAAGAATCCAGAAGCAGACAATCCACCCAAGGATGCTACTTCATGGAGATGACAGTGAACTCACCTAACTTTATAAAACAAGACACAGTGGTACTAGACCCTGGGCCAGCTCCCCACACCTGCCCTTCCCGGATGACGAGAGGGTGAAGGAGAGAGATACT